CTAGAGGGCGCATCAGATGCAGATGTTGGGTCAAATTCTATTTTAACCTATAAACTCAGTTCCAATGAATACTTTGGGTTAGATGTGAAAACAAACAATTATGACAATAAACAGATCGAGCTCGTATTAAGAAAATCTTTGGACAGAGAGGAGGCTCCGAAACATAACTTACTCCTGACGGCCACCGATGGAGGCAAACCTGAGCTCACGGGTTCTGTTCAGCTGCTGATCACTGTGCTGGACGTGAACGATCATGCTCCTGCTTTCGACCAGCCCGAGTACGAAGTGAGGATATTCGAAAACTCAGACGTCGGAACAACAGTTATAAGACTGAGTGCTTCTGATCGGGACGCAGGAACGAACGCGGCAATCTCATATTCTTTTAATAGCCTCGTTCTACCCCTCGTTATGGACAGGTTTAGCATAGATCCCAGCAGTGGAGAAATCGTGATTCGAGGGGATTTGGATTTTGAACAAGTGAATTTATACAAAATCCGCGTAGACGCCACGGACAAAGGCCACCCTCCCATGGCAGGTCATTGCACCGTTATAGTGCAAGTTCTGGATGAAAATGATAACGTTCCGAAGATTACACTGACGTCTTTGTCCTTGCCTGTGGAAGAGGACGCCCAAATTGGAAGAGTCATCGCCCTGATCAGCGTGTCCGACCGCGACTCGGGTGTCAACGGGGAGGTGACCTGCTCGCTGACACCCCACGTCCCCTTCAAGCTGGTGTCCACCTTCAAGAACTACTATTCCCTGGTGCTGGACAGCGCCCTGGACCGGGAGAGCGCCTCTGACTACGAGGTGGTGGTGACTGCCAGGGACGGGGGCTCGCCCTCGCTGTGGACCACGGCCACCGTGTCCGTGGAGGTGGCCGACGTGAACGACAACGCGCCGGTGTTCGCGCAGGCCGAGTACACGGTGTTCGTGAAGGAGAACAACCCGCCGGGCTCCCCGATCTTGACGGTGTGCGCGCGCGACGCGGACGCGCAGGAGAACGCGCGCGTGTCCTACTCGCTGGTGGAGCGGCGGGTGGG